TGAGATTAGAACCGCTGAACTGCAGATAACAGTCAGCTGAAGTGGCCTGCAGTACTGCACCCTAACCACTGCGCCACCTCGGCTCCTATATCTCATCTTGAACAGAGGTGGGTTCCTACCGGATCAGACCGGTTCGACCGAGCAGTTAGTAACTAGGCCGGCCATGTCCCCAAACCGGTTCTATCGGCGGCACCGTAGGCACCGCCATCTTGTTTTTTGCTTCTGCACATGCATAGAAGCAATTTTTACTACTGCGCATGCATGCGTAGCAGGCATAAAGCACACACACACAAAGTGGGTGCAAAGCAAACCGGCAGTAGCAGAAGTTGGAACCCACCCCTGATCTTGAAGCTTGTCTATGTGATTGCTAAGACCAATATTGCTGACACTGGTTTGATGGTGCTTAATCACCAATTAGTGAATTACCTAAGTAAGAAAAATGTCACCCCCCCCCCCCAAAATTGAAAGATTACAATTAAAGATGGACACAGAAGTCCAGATGCAGTGAATAAGGCAGTGGATTGTATAATACAACCATGAAGCACAGCAAGCTATTAGACGGGATAATAATATTATGCTAGGCATGCCATCTAATTTTGTCCTATGCAGTGCAAAATAGTCAATGTTTAGTTCTCAAATATTATACAGGGGAATATGAACAGTGTACCCAGAACATCCTAACAACTAGTCCACCTACTTGTAGGAAAGGAGAACAGAACACTCAGTTCTGAAACAATATAGCAGTTATATACTAAGTTCTCTACATATACCAGGAAGAAGACTCTAATACCAGACCCGTACAACATTTCGCTGTGCTCAGTGGTGCGATTCAAATTTTTTTATTACCAGTTCTGTGAGCATGGCTTGGTGGGCATGGTGTGGTTTGGTGGGCATGGCAGGGGAAAGATATTGCAAAATCTCCATTCCCTCCCCACACCTGGGGGAAGATTCCTGCAAAATCCCCATTCCCTCCCTATCCCACTAACCTGCTTTCCAGCTCCGTTCTCCTGTTCAGGGCAACAAAAGATCATCAGCTGGGAGGCAGGGTTGGCTGGGCCAACCTATTTGCCGGTTCTCTGAACTACTCAAAATTTCCGCTACGGGTTCTCCAGAATCTGTCCTGAACTGGCTGAAGAGCACTTCTGCCTGTGTTGTGGAGTTTCCTAGTCTTCCCTAAACTGATGTTCTCCACATTTGATAGAACTGTAATTTATGATCTCAAAAACCATGCTAGCTGGGGACTATACATAAATATATTATGTATCAATATATTAAGCTTTAAAGTTAGGGGTAAATTTACACTTACACATAAGTATGATTTACACATAAGTATATAGAAACATATTTTTTTTAAAAGAACTGGATACAGGGATCAACTAACTACTTCTAATATATACAGTTCTTTAGTTTACCAATGGTAAATAATTACAGATTAAAGTATTTGTATTGTTAAAATTCCGGGCAATAGTACCATCTGTGTAACTGATGTTATTTTAGTTCAGTTGGCTTCTCTATTGAGTTTTAGGCTTTGCCAATCTGGCATTCTTCAGACATTTTGACAATGCTCCTGGGCAGATGAGATTGGAAAGAATTGATGGGATTTGTAGGCTGGGCGTAGATTGGATTATTTAGCTGCTGCTCATTTCTTACAGTAAGTGGAACATTGCTCTGGACCTCCAAAGAGTATTCTGCTAAATCTAATACAGAGAGGATAGTTATGGTCAGCAAGCAGATGCCTCCACCATGAAGGTGCAAACAAGAAGATAAATATATAAGATGAAAAGTCTTTGGAATGGTTGCAATTCATTCACTTGCCAAAGAGTCCACAAGAGCCAATGAAATGAGTATCTTATGACTCTACACAAAATGTTGCAGGCATCTTACTGAAAGCTTTTGAAAAGTAATAAAATATTTAAAAGCCATAAATGATTTGT